TATATATTTATATAATATATATAGTGTATACACACACACGATCCTTTTACCTTTATCTTGCACTTCTTTTGAAAATCGCTCCCTTTCAATAGCTGATTCACGTTCTATCCGCTCAATTTCAGCCAATGCATCCAACTCTACTTCATCATATGACGTTATAGTTCCTTGTTGCGAAACCTGTTGCTGTGTCTGTACCACAGGAGTTTGAGGTTGTTTTGCAGCAATTGAAGTGTTCTGTTGTAAAACAGGCACTTGTTGTGCCTGAAGGAAAGCTGTCTGTTCATGCTGCGGCAGACACTGAGCAGCGTTTAGAGGGCGGTTAACATCCTGTGGAGTAACGGGTGTTTTAGAAGTTTGTCCTGGGTACTGCACATTAAAAGGAATATCACCCTCTGACACACTGCTGTTTTCCAAACCAGAAAGCATATCATCCTGCTGGTCCATATCCGAAGATCTTACACGAGAGAGTCTTAATGTAAGCTTAGTGGAGTCCTTGGAAGGAGAACTAATGATATCATACATTGCAGCTTTTTCAGTCTGGTCTTTTTCATCCTTGCCTAACTTCATTTTCTTTTGTTTCTTTTGCTTTCTTTCTGGAGAATCTAACAATATGTCTGGGGGAACATCTCTAGGTGATGAATAAGGTGGAGGTTGAGACTGTTGGATTAAAGGTTGTCTTGATCCTAGAATAATAATTCAGAAAAACTGAACAGTTATGTTGTTTCATGTTTATATAAAAACACACTAAATATAACCTACATAATTTTAATGTGTATTTCTACATATATCTGTGTTCACAAAAGGTCTAAGTAAGATTGGTAGGGAGCACATCATTCCTAGATCAAGATGCAATCCAGATAGTTGCAGTGTATTTCCTAGGAATTTTAGCATTCCACTGCAAATAGAGAAGGGATCATTTCAGAGAAGACGGAACAAAAAAACCCCATCATGAAAAACGAATAAATAAAAATAGTACCTGCAAGCTCAGAATATCAACTATTAGAAAATGGTCAATGAAAATAAGTTGACTAGAGAAAAAGGAAAGATCAAAAAGATTCTTAACAAGGTCCAGCAATGAAGACTTAATGATCTGTATATAGGCATTAGACATTTCAGCCACACATTTTTAATTAAAAGAAAAATCAAAACATATGCAACCTCCTTAACTTTGATTCTGAGAGTTCATTTTCAACTTCTTTTTTTTTTTGGTGTGGACTTTATTTTAGGTAAATTCATCCCAACCTCTCCAACTTATTACTATCTAGAAAACACTAATTACCTTAAGGCATTTTTTTACTGTTCCCTGCCTTATCTCCTCATTAAAAAAAAAAAAAAAAAAAAAAATTTACTTCTACATTTGAGTGTATATGGAGAGATTTTTAAAAGAGGACACGTTTACTTAAAAATATTCTCTAATTTATCACATTTAAATTTCTTGTTCCTCAAATTAAACCACCTCCACAGAAAAAGGCTTTGAAAAACAGAAAAAACTTTTCAATCTGTCCCAACTATAATTTTGAGCTATAATTTTTGGCTTAAAAAGGAATTGGGGGGGGAATAAAGCCTGTTGGCTGGACCAGTATGCCTCACCTCCTCTTCTTAAAGCAAATATTTACCAGATTCCATTCATCCACTGTGGAACAATGACCTTCAGAAAGCAGTGGCTGAGATTATTATTAGTTGTTCTGGTTCAGGTCATCATGGGTCAGTACTTCTAACAACAATCAAAACCTAATTGGAATACAGGTTTCCCATGTGCTTCATTCAAGAAACACCACTAAACAAGAAAGCAGCTTTATTCTACAGCTTAAATTTCTATCAGATATGTTAAGAAATATTATTAATCATTAAGCAATGTACTGACCTGTAGATGAAAAAAAGAATAGATACCTCTAGCAAAGCTTCAATTCACATGAAAGGTGTGCCTTTACTGATGACTTCATTGCACTGACTGCTATACTTATTTTCTCTCCCTAGTACATTCTGTGAGAAGTTGTATAACTTCTGTATGTAAACACCAGGGTATGAAACAGGTTTACCTTAACCGTCTTGACCATCGCCAACAATTCCATATTCTGCCAATAACATTCACAATGTTGGGAAGTCCTGTTTTGATTCATCCTGATTCTCAAGATTTTTCCATTACTCTACTTTCCCCCATCAGTAGTGAAGTCCTGGCTACACCCTACTAACGCCTCTCACTTGCCTTTCACCACAGATTCCTATTCTTGTGATGCCTCTGGCCCCCGCCCAATTACTATCTCTTTTGGTAATTTACAAGACTGTAGTAGGGTAATGTCTACCACTCAGGAAATACAAGTTGCATTTTTATTTCTACAAATACAAGAGGCAGCTCAAAATTTTTCAAAGAGATCTTACTGACATCTTACTCTTAAATTATCTCTTGAATTAATACTTCTGAAGTTGCAACAATGGAACATCTACTGGTTTTCAGAGGCACACTTCAAATGGAGGACACAGATTAGATTCTTCCTTGTCCTAAACTCCTAAGTAAATACGACAAAAATTTTCTGATTTGGTATTAATTTTGTATTTGTCATGCTGAAAAATAACACTGCAGCAACAGATAAAGTGGTTCTTTTTATCTTTGGGTAGACTTGAGGAGGTCAGAAGGATTTCAGTGCATTCCATTAAACATACTTAGAATTCAGTAAATAAAGAAACAAAAGGAAAGTTTACCCTCTCCTAGGCAGCACTACGAATAGGTATCTAGGAATAGGAAAGCATCTTCCTTCTGAAGGAAATTCTTGAAAGGTGTTAATAGTAAGGACTATAAGCTGAATTTAGGAGTACATGTTCTGGCAATAACTGAGATGTCTAATGATGCCTCTCTGGTAACAAGGAGTCTTTGAAGCTACAAAGCCTATGGAGGTGAAAAGAAACTGAAAAAGATGAAGCACTCTGGAACAGTTTCACTCTATCACAAACATTAGCAGTTTTGAACAGGTATCACACATTGAACATGCACCACATTCTGTCGGATGCTTAGACCTCAGACAAAACATCGCCCATTATACAGAGAAAGTTGAGCCTGTTACTGTTGAAGTCAGTCTGGAATACCTCCTATGGGAGAAGGCTTGAGCCATTATATGTCTGCAAACAAAGCTCCTACAAGATTTGTAGATAACAGTAGAAATGTTTTTGTAGAAAGAATACACAGACAGGCAGGTATGATCTGTTTGGTGAACAGTAAGATTCGAAGGTTGAGGTTTGGTCTACAAAATGCTGTCAATGAAGCAAATCATACAATGATCTTTGGAAACGATCTTTGGGAATGAACCGAATTTCAGAATATTCTTTTAGAACAGAGAAACATACAGGCCGCTTTTGACACTAAGTCTAGGGCTGTGTGGTAATTCAGGAGAAAAAAAATCTGACTTGCTGTAGTTGATCATCCATAGCATCAGTAAAAGAACTTTGTGCGATCTCTTTTTA